TAGGAATCAGAAGTGTGTAACAGAAGGATTTCAGGTAGCATGTAATCAGCTTAGTCATTGTTGCCCTGAGATTGAGAGGCAGGTAAAATAGTGAAGCAGATATTCTAGTAGAACCATTTGGAAGGATGTGTGGAAGGTGGTTGATATATGACTCATTTTCATACATGTGACAGGTAAAGAGGAAAGAACGAACTGATGGAAAAGGACAAAACACTCAATAGGACCCTGGAATGTGCCACAAGAACCTCTGAAGAAAAGCCTCAAAGGCAGAGATCAGTCAGAGTTTTAGTGAAGTGTTGGGAATAGAAACCAGAATGAGAAGGATGGAAGAAACTAGTTAAGAAAACTGGAAACAATAGAAATAGATGAGAAACTTCAGAAAGCTGAATTTTAAACAACACGAATATATTAGCTAAATTTGATTTCTTGAAGACAGAAGAGACATGAGGAGCCTGTCTGACAACTCCAACTAGTCTATTCACATTGAGAATTCTGAATCTTGATTATTGCGAACACCTACCCTCATCAAGCCTATGTGTCTTGGCCTGTTCCATTTCACACACAGCAATTTTGAATGGTCTTCACTTTAAGAAGGTCAGAGGACAATTTAATCCTGATGTAGTTCTGGAATTTATCTCAGAAATAGATTTTATTTGTCTTCAAATAGTCAGCACAGCAGAGTTGAGAGAGTTCTAAATCTGAAGTCTCAGTACCTGGTGTTTGGATGCCCTTTCAGATGTTCATTCACTAGGTGTTGGACTGTGGCTAACTCATACAATCACAGACAAGATCATAGGCTTAGGACCAGAAGATCTTTAAGAGGCCAACCATTCTTACCCCTTTATTTTACTGATGATAAAACTAAGGATCACAGAGTTTAAATGACTTCATCATGCTCATAAAACTTGTGTCAGAGGCAGAATTTGAACCCAAGTTTTTCTAATTCCAAAACCAATACTCCATCTCCTTACACCAATTTCTCTTTCTCAAGTCATCTAACTTATCAGAGCTACAGTTTCTTCATCTGTGAAATGAGGTTAATGATACTTTCAGTATCTACTGTTGCGAAGAAAGTGTTTTGAAGACCTTAAATCATTATGCAAATGTGTTATTATTTTGTAATCCAACAGACTTTCAGAGGTGGTGTGCCAAGACTTTCATTTCCAAATTTGTATCTACTCTCTCAGAGAGTTGGCTAAGAATATGTGAGGCAAGATTGGGAGAGGAAGATAGGATTGGCATTTCTTCTTTGTGAACCAAGGATGTAGATGGTGGGAGCCAACCCCATCCGGCAGAAGCCACCTGTCAGTACCACAGAAGGGGATTCCTCGGGGAAATATTTTCTGAGCCTCTGACTTTTGATCAGTGAAGTAGTAGACCCAAGTCAGATTTCCCTGCAACCCTTCCCCAATTTATTATCTCCTTTAAAATGCAGATATTTTTGGGAGTAGTCATGCTTTAAGCTCTCAGCTGTTTCATTTTCGGTTAGCATTTTGGCAAGCTTTAATTGATCCCAACCAAGGACAAGAAAGGAATACCAAATATGTAGGGTAAGATGGGAGGGAAGGGGGATAAGAGAGGTCAGGGGGATAAAAGTGTTGCTGGGGGAATTGAAAAGGGACCAAAGATAGAGCTATCAAACAACTTCACCTAAATCAAGCAGGCTCCATGACTTAAAAATAATCTCCATAACTGCATTTATCATATGTACTCAAAATTGCTCACCCCTTTTATAGTCATATATAGATGTACATTTTTTAAAATATATATATATATATATATATATATATATATATATATATATATATATATATATATATATATATATATATAATAGAGGTAGCATGGCATAGTCAAAAGTGGGTTGGCCTCAAAGTCAGAAATCTCTGAGTTCAAATTCTGTCTCTGACAATGGTTGTGACCTTGTGTCCCTTAACCTCTTGGAGCCTCAGACAATTCTCTAAGATTATAAATTGCAAAGAAAGTGTCCATTTGCATTCACAGAAGATGGGATATTAACCTCAGGGCCTCAGTTTTCTCATCTATAAGAGAGGGTAGGATTAGGTGATGCATAAAGTACCTTCCAACTCTAAAACCCAGTGATCTATACTCCATGATCTATATCGCTACTGTTTATTAAAAACAAAGTTGGATCTCCTTTACAAATTAGTTGCCATCTATTCATTATTCAGTAATCAAAAGATGCCTAAAGTTATCCTTGTGGGTTTTAAAGAAGAAGAATGATTCGGTCTCTATAACTTTAATAATTCATCAAACGGTCATGCTCTACAGTCATAAGCATTCTTTGTTACAGTCTCTTTTCCCTTAAAAGGTTGGAATTATTTAGCCAAGTTTTTGATGATAAGGAAAGTAGGGTTTGTCTTCTCCAATTTGGACCCACCTTCAATTTCTTGTTGGGGCCTGCTAATCAGAGTTTAATATATTTTTTTTCTGCTCATTTGTAATTCATTTGGCACTGACAGCATTTCACTGATCATTATTATGATTTCATGGCTTGGCTATTTATGAGTCTTTTGCATGGGCTTCCCCAGCCAGATTATTATTCTTCAATTTTGTATTAGTTAAGCATTCACCAAGAGGCCCTTCCAGAAAGCAGAGTTCCTTTGTTGGAATGCAGGAACAGCCTCATTTCATGTTCCTGTTGACTTTTTATAACCAAGATTACTCATCACAGCTGAAGTTTGGGGAACAATAGATGGAAAACGGTTTCAACATTTTTTCCATTGAACATAACACTATTTTACAAAAAATGTGTTTGAGGGAATGATACTATTAGTACAGGTAATAATTTAGGAAATGCTATAATAAATAGATAACTACACATTTATGTTGTTTATGCTAAATGTTACAGGAAACATTTACATGAACTAGACATGATTCCTTTATAGCAATTTATACATGTTTGTGAGAAACATACAATTTGTCTATGCACGAAAAGATACAAGATACAAGGATAAAATTCATAAAGCCCAGAATTTAGAGAAATTAAAATCATATAAGAGATAATGCAGCCTAGCTCAAGTAACACCTCCTCCTAATAACATTCTCCATGAAACCTTTCCTAGTATTTAGACTGAAATGACTTCTTGTTTTCCTGATGTAGGGGACTAGTGATGCATGGACCCCGTTTGGCCAGTCCCCCTGTCTCATACATTACTTTATCATAGGGTTCACTATTTGCATTCCATATCATCTTGTATTATCTTCTCATTATTTCATGTATAGTAGTAACCCCATCATTCCAAACAGATTATAAGCTACCTGAGGGCAGCATATATACTATGTATTATATATACTACAAATATATATATGTGGCATTTCTCTTGTGAGTTCCCATAGCACCTAGTTTGGATGTTAAGCACACATTCTCAGTAACTTGTGATTTCAGAGTAGCACAATCACCGTAATAACCCATCTAAAACTTAGAAAAGTCCTAAACAATTGTTTTGGTCAATGAAAGGTTAAATAACTTGCCCTGAGTCACACAGCATTAGGAGCATTAAATTCAGGTCTTTTGACTCCAAATCCAGCATTCTATATATTTAGGTCATTCCGGGTACTTTCAAGTCATTTTACAATATTGCACTGAACTGAATTGCATTGTACCTTTCTCTAGGTACTATCCATTGGAATTTTTTCTTTCAGTTAAATATATCACTTTTATTTTCCCTAAGTGGGATTTAAATGCTTTAGCACACATTTATTTCTAGTTTATGCAGTTTAGTTCTTGGTTGGTTATATAGCCTTCAGATGCTTGCTGCTTAAGGGTTCTAAAAGTCTTAAGAAAAAAATAGCCCAATTTGGGGAATACCGTTATTTCATTTCTTATAAAATACCAAAGTAATTTTCCTTGTCTTAATAAATTGGGGAGATAGATAGATAGACAGGCAGGAAATATATTTTATTTGATAAGTAGTGAATAGCCTCTAACTCTTCCTAGTTGTACCACCCCTGGACAAGTCACTTATCTTTTCAATGATCTAGGTCACTGTCTTAGACCATAAGTTGCAGTTCAGATATGAAGCTGCTTTTCTCAACAGAAAGTTTCCTAAACCAGTAAAATCACGGGTCCATTCCCTATCCTAAATCATAACCATCCCTCTTCTCAAATCCTAGCCAGCAATAAAGTTGTAGATTTTATTTTAACACTATTTTAGTGATGACTAATACTGTAATATATTGTGCAAACATGGCATAACCTGTTGGCATGTTTCTCCCTTCTTTTAGAGAAAATCAGCAATGAGAGTAAAGAACAGCTAAACGTTGGCATTACTTTGAAATGAGCCAGCGGGGATAGGTTCACTCTACAAAGTACAGTTACCAAGTTTCCAAACTAGGCTAAATATATGTAAACGAGTGTCACCGAAAGCGCGCAAACTCTCTAACACCCCAATCTTTTGCTTCAGTTTAGGAGATGTAACTAAAATTTTCCACCCATTCTTCCTCACCTTTCCCCTGTGAAGCCGCTGAACAATGCCTTTTCCTGGGGGAAAAGGACTACCGTGGGAGGCTTGGGGTAGGAACTTGCATCTTGACCCTGAGAAGTGGTCAAGGACACACTAAAGCCTTCTGACTCCTGACGGAGGTGCTCTTCACGCTTGGGAATCCCTCACTAAACTGTTCCACTTCACACCCTCCTGCTGGTGTGATGCACCAGGAAAATATTCTTGTTTTTGAAGCAGGCTCTCTTGGTTTGCCCTGATGACTACAAGGCTGGGAAAATGTTGCCCCAGGTTTAAAATATCTGCCTCAGTAGAACGTGGGTAAAAAGCTCACTCACTCCTTCTCACCCTCCCTTCTCGGGCCCTTGCCGCTGCTCCCAGAGTCTTTGGGGATGTGCCTAGACACAGCACTACTGTCATTCTGGCCAAAAGCAGGCAGAACAAACCCCTGGCCTGCATCCAGCTCTCTCACTCACAGCTACCTCCCCTCCCTAGCCTACCCCACCCCCTAGCCCTACCGGGATTTTTTTCTTTCCTTTTTTTTTCTCTTCCCACAATACAGGATCTTCCTTCCTCAGCTCCCTTAAATTATAACCCAGGGAACCTCCACCAGAACCTCCGTCAAACCCAAGGCAGAATGTCTAGTGGCAAATACATAGACTCCGAGGTAGGATTTGCTTCACCTTCGGGGAGTTTCTTAAAGCCCCAAACCCCCGGCACGAGGTGCTCTCCTGCCCTATCTCCCTCCCTCGGAGCGCCTGCTTCGGCAATCTCCACCAGCTCCTGGGAGCACTCCAACCTCTTTTCTTTACCCATTTCCCTCTTGACCTCTGACCATTCTTCTCACTCAGCCATTGCTAAGGAGCAGGCGTCCGGGGAGCGCTGGGGAGGAATCGGGGGTAGGTAGGGAGTAGGACAGCAACTGGGTGTTTGCTACGCTTGTTGTTTGAGGGCAGAGGGTTGCTTTCTTAGGGAAATCACCGAGCGAATGGGGGGCGGCAGGGGGGGAAATGTGGATAGGATAACTTTGGAGGTTCCCCGACTTAGCGTGTGCCGGAACAGAAATCCACCTCCTTGGAGGTTGGGTGATTTTTTTTTTCTCTCACGCCCCCCTCCTTTACTCTGCAAACAGCGAACCAGCTGCCCAGCTGATCGCTCTGGGGCGGGAGGCTTGAGTATCTGGAGATGCTGGGAACGTGGTAGGCAGGGAGGGGCAGCGGTGGCTGTAACTCCCTTATCCCACAGCCCTGGGCAAGCACATACCCAAGCCTGGGCGTCTGGAAAAGCTTAACTGGAGCGTTGGCGCACGCTACGTTTGCTCTTCCCCGAGTCCTTGATCCGTCTCAAAAACTCCTTTGGAATAGAGTCTCCAAAGGGGAGATTCCCCCCAAGGTCACCCTCCCCATCCACCCACGCCAGAACCCCGATTTGCATTTATGCAGAACAAATTTTTTCCCAAAGTCAGTGGCTGCAGCGCCTGTAAGAGCCTATGAGAAGGGGACCGGGTGTGGGGGGGGGGGGGAACGGACGCTGGTGCTAAATGGGGGAGAAGCGATTGGAATTTAGGGGAAACAGGTAAGATGTAGGGAGGAGAAGCCTGAGGTAGGGCTAGATCTCGAGATTCGGTGAGTTCTTAGGAGGTGAGGGTGACAGGAACCCATTAGGGTCAATAGGGTAGGAGGGGGAGGGTCGTGAAAGATACCTCCAAACTTTAGGACTCCTGACAGAAGTAGAGAGAGCACTAAGGTGGGATCCTAGAGACGGGGCCGCAGGTGCATTGTTTGATGGGGATCTGGGGTTTGGAAAGATGACTAGTTACTCTTTACTCTATCGGAGAAAGCCAAGTTTAGGTTAGGAAGCTACAGGTGTGATAGACTGGTGAAGAAGGGGAGGCGATAGAAGCAGGTAAGGACATTCAAGAAAGGTGAGGCGCCCTAAAGTGGGGCTGGGACCAAATCGGAGAGCTAGGGCCGAGCCCAAGGCTGCTGGAGTCCTTGGAGCCAAGCCCTGAGCGCTGAATTCGGTGAAGGCGGGGGAGTAAAATGGGGCGGGGGGGGCAGTTGGAGAGATTAGGGAGCTGGACATTTGGGCTGTGTTTGCAGATGACCCCTGGCGGCGAGAGTGGGAGTCAGACTTCTCTGCCCGGTACCGAGGGGTGTGGTGTCGTCTTTTCTATCCTTTTAAAAAGCCAGTCTCCCTGTGAAGTTTACTTTGCTCTGAGCAAGTCGCAGCCCTTGCTGCAGCAGCTGCTGCTGCCTTTAAAAAGAATAATAATAATAATTCTCTCTTCCTTAAGTTTGAGATCTTTCCCAACCTCAAGTTGACTTTTGTCCGCTTGTTCTGTTTTTTTTTTTTATTTCCTTCCCACCCCCCTTCCCTGTTCCTACCATCACCCCCTCCCTAGGGGCTTCTCTACTCGGCGCCGGTCCGGGAACAGGGAAACATCTACAAACCCAACAATAAGACCATGGCCGACGAAATGAACGAGAAGCAAATATACGATGCGCACACCAAGGAGATCGACCTGGTTAACCGAGACCCCAAGCATCTCAATGACGATGTGGTCAAGGTAAGGGATGGGATGGGCCAGGCCAGAGGGGAAGACAAGGATAAAATCTTTGGGACAAGAGTGGAGGGAGGAAGGGAAGATGACCTAAAGAGGTGAGGACCTCTCTCCATGAGCTGCTGGCAGGACCCTCTCTGCATCGCATGGACGGCTGAGGGCCCAGGTATCACTTTCCCACCTCCTCACTCGGTTTAGGGGCTAGGGAATAGCTGAAAGCTCAAGGAAAAAGCAGAAAATAAATTTTTGCCTTCTCTTGGGAAATGAAGTTTCTCTGAGTCAGGTGATTTCAGCCTAACCCTAACTCTGTTACTTATTCCCAGGCTTCCTAACTAGGGAGAATCGGATAGGCACACTGCTTCCTAGCCAAGGCAATGCTGTCTGCACCCACTCTGATGCCTTTAAGAGCTCTGCTGAATGATACTAACTTGAGCATGGGGTACTCTTAGAGCACTTTGTAAAGCAAACCTACAGGCATGTGGAATACAAACACAAAATTGACAGGATCCTGAATTAAGTTTCTCTTGAAAATATTAGAACGGGTGAAAGTGCTTTGGACCAAGAAGAGGGAGTGAGTATTCCAGTGAAATGTCAAACTCTGAATGAGTTTTTAATTAAACCGAATGAGGTTCCTGGGTCCAAAAAACTTAAGTGTGCAAAAATCTACACAGCCTGGAGTCTTTAGTCAGTTGCACTAGGGAGTCAGCTAGTTTACTGCTATCTGTATTTTCCTTTATGATTTCTTATGTCAGTCTGCTCCAGGATCACATGGACCAAAATGAATCCGTCTGCATATACATGTAGAATATTACTTTAAAACCAGTGAGCTGTCAAAACTCTTATCTGACTTGATGGTCAGCATTTTTTTATTACTGTTATTGCAAACTTCAACCATTTTAAGCAGATGTGGTCAGAGCAATGCATTGTTGGGACCCATTTGGACCGAGAAATCATGACTATTACCAGTCTTTGGCAAAAGGCTTACCTTTCTGGGACCAAGAAAGCCAGGGAGACCTCTTGGCTCAGGATATTAGAATCTAAAGACACTATCCTGCAAAATCCTATGACTGCAAACCTGATTAGAATAAAACCATTTCAAGCCATCCAGGGCCTCTTACACAAGGATAGGAGTTGGGAGGAGTAAGTAACTCTTCATGGTTATGAATAGCATATTTTAAAAGGGGAACATGTGAGGAAAATGAGCATATTGGACTTAATTTCCTTGGCATGAAGGAAAAAGGGAAATAGTAATTGGAAGCTTTTAAAGATTTTCCTGGTAGGGCAGAGTATGGAATATTTAAAAAAAAAAAAGCAATTCACAATAATCTGAAAATTAAAAGGGCTAAATTATGAATAAATTGAAGATAAGGTAAACACATTTATCTCAAATTATTTTAAAGAGGAGGATAAAGTGCTATCCTTCCTTATTTGGCTTTTGATAAGAAGGTTAGTTGCTAGGTAGAGCACTAGCACTGCAGAATTCAGGAAGGCCATACTTCATTGGTTATTTTTTCTGTTCATTTGCACTGTTAGTAGGAGTCCCTGGAGCAACCAAACTTTCTGAGGATGAGTCAGAGCTCCCAGGCTGTATGGAATTTGGGTCTCCACACACAGCATGACTAAATAGAGAAAGAAAGATCCCACTGGGAAAAGAGACTTAACATAGATGGAAAAAAAAACATAACGGTCTTAGAGGAAATTGAAGTTTACAAAACAGAACTCCAAAGGGCAATTATTAGGGATCCTCAGACCAAATAAATTAAAAGCAGGTGTTAATGTGTGGCCCCAACAGCTTCAAGATGCTAAATCCCACCCACTTGCTGGTGCAACTGAGCAAAACAAAGTAAACAAATAATCCACTATCATAAAAATTTGCCAGATCCCCTGTGACTTCAGGGAGGTAAATACAAACTTAAGTGTGTGCATCTAGAAATTTAAATACTTCCCAAGCAACTCCTGGTCACAGTTGATCCAGGACCTGTCTTTTTTTCAGAATGTCAAAGACAGAAGAGAATTTAAGGTCACCTAATTATCTACAACACAAATTCCTTCTTCGGCACTCTGACAAGTAGTCAAGCCTCCAGCGACAGTCAAGAAAGAGTGACTCTTTTAAGAATTTTTGGGGCCAAGAATTTAAATTTGATTATAAAGTCTGGAATAATTCTCTTTCCTGTTTCCTTAACACTAGAACTTGTTTCTCTTACATCAGAATAGATGCCTCATCTCCCAACCTTATAACATCTGAGAAGTTCATGTTATCATTGTGCTATTAAACATGATATTACAAATAGAAACAGGTAGAATGGAAGCAGATCAAATAATGATAACAGATGGAATCAGGTCGAATAAATCTATTGTGAAAGGTAAATAACTTAACAGGGAAGAGGGAAGCAACTCTACATTCAGAAGATTCTCATATCACATTTTAAAAATAATTCTGACTGATGAGAAACAGAGGAAGCAGTCCTGATATAAAATGTGAAAAGTTACACAGTTACTGAATATGTACTGAATATTCTTTCAACACCAAAGCTAAGCTGTATAGAAAGCACAAGAAAAAACAGAAAACCACGTATTTTTTTAAAAAATAAATTAGTTTTCTAATCCCATTCTAAGGTCAGGGTCCAAGGGATATATGAGCATAAACAAAATATCATAGAAACTGTGTTGTTAACTTCCTTCAATAACTGAGCAATTGTGTTTGCTCATCAGATATTATAATCATGAAATTTCAGACAGAAGTATCCCCAAAAGTAAAGGAAAATCAAACTGCTATGTCGTTTCTGATAATTAAAGGGATGTAAATCAATATGAAATTTTGGCAGGTGACACTTTTCTAGCCTTCACATGACTGGTTGAAATATTTTATATGCACTCAGATGTGGAAAGGATCTGTGATATTCTGAGTACCAAAGACCTCCTTCTCTTAGATCACCCAAGCTGACTCCAGATTTTCTATATGTACTAGAAAACAGAATGGATCTGTGATTTCATGGTAGTGGGGAGCCTTCCTCTTCTTGATCACCTAAGCAACAGCCCTTATCTAGGATTCTATAGTAAGTCCTAGGGCATTGCTTGAGGTACATAGTGGTTAATCAGTATACCCAGGAACAAACAGCTAATAAGTGTCAGAAACAGGATTTGCAGGATTTGAAGCCCATGTCTTCCTGCCTTCAAATTCAGCCTCTATCCACTCTAGCAAGTGCTTTTATTTAAATATTCTTTTAAGACATCAATTTATAAAAGTTTGCTTAGTATTTAAGAAATAGTTCTTATAATTAAATAGAATGGATTTTTCCAGAGATAGTCAATAAGCATGTATTAAGTGCCTGCTATGTACCAGGCATTGGGCTAAACACAAGATACAAACAAAAACCATCATCTCAAGACACTCACTGTCTAATGTGGGAGCCAACATGCAAAGAAAGAAGGATACATATGTTCACTTTAATGTGAACATTGCACTTCAGAAGTATATTGAAAAGGTAACTAACGGTGAGGCATTCCAATCACACCCAAATGCCAAGGCACGTGTTTCTCAACATTGTTAAGCTTGAAATCACTAGTGTAGCTGTTTTCTGTGAATTCGAATATATTGTAAACCAAAGAAAAGCTTTACCAGCACCAAGGGTTTTGCTTTGATGAAACTGGATGAAATTAAACCTGGGCCAATTATGATAGAGCTATACAAGAAACTAATTGACTTTAAAAGATAGAAACTGTAGTTGCTGACCAAGAAACCACTTTATCCCTCCCTTCAACTTAGCATAAAGAATGACTGTGGCCTATCCTGCAATGCCTGTGAAATGAACCCCTCACTATAGCTCATGGTAGCTTTGTGTAATACATTCATCCTTCAGGAGGCAGAAAATCAGCCCATACTCATGCCAGTAAATGAAAAGTGAGATCATTCCACAGCTGTACCACAGAGATGTTAGAGGTCCAACCCATCAGTGAAGATCAAAATTCAGAGAGAGATCCTTTAGGCTGTGGGTTTTTCCACAGACTTTTTTTAAACCATCTTTGACTTGTGAGTGAATTGCTTATGCAATAAAGTACGTTTCAGATTTGTTATCTGGAATAACAATGGAGTGTGTAGAAGGGCTCATCTCCAAACTTGAAACATGGATAATCATATGCCAGGATTTATTCACCTATTAATTTTTGTTTCAGTGCATTCCTTTGAATGTGTGTCTATTTCCAGGTTTCTATTAATTTGGTAGGGCACAATGACTCCAATGGAAGAGAAATTTACCCAGGTACATAATGTTCAGAAAAATTAACTACTAAACATGTGGTATTGATCAAGGATGGCTTATTACCCTTACCAGGTGATTTGCTATGCTTAAGCTGCAGAAGAATTAATAATTTTACCATGGACATAGATGAATCACAAAAGATGGTTGTTCCTCAGATATCAGTAGCCAATTTACTAAATGACTTTAAATGAAACTTACTTGAAAAGCTCGATCCTTTTTAGATTCGGCAGGAATTTTCTAGAGCCAGCTCATACCAGCTCATGAGAGTTGATGGTTACATTTTCAACAAGCATTTACACCTTGGAAACTGAGTAAATGCTGCAAATCAAAGCTTGATTTATTGTTTTATTGATTTCTAGACTTAAAGTGATGGAGAAAATATTAATAATGCAGATTACACATAAAAGTGTACCATGTGTACTCCTCTCCCCACCCCCAGGCAGGTGTCAAATATTTACCAGCACACTCCAGCTTTTTATATTATACATGTTCTTCCTCAGTTAGTAGTGATTCTAGAGTGGCAGTGTCTAAGTAATTTAAATTTTGTGACAGTGTTCAGCTACAACAATGTGATTGGAATAAGTTTTTATGTTTCTACGCTATGTAGTCAAGAAATGATTGAATTCAGTCAGTTGCCTAAAGAGACCCTGCAACAGTAACTGCTGTTTTTCTTGAAAAACCTGCATTACCTTTTCTTATAGCAATTTGTATCCAAGTCTGGAAAATTATTCTAAATTTTATTTCTGA